CATATTTCATTTAGATTAGCTAAAACGCTTTTCTAAAATCAGATTTATGACATGAATCAGATGCGGAGAAAGGCCGGCTCGGTTCGCTGACGGCCGGCACCGCCCTTTATTATTATATGTTTTAAACGGCATCATGTAAATTGACAGTCCACAGAGGTCCACAGTTTTTTCAAATCAGCTGCTCTTCATTTTATTCCCTGCTATATTCAATGAGTGAGTGAATATTTTTTACCACAAGTTCTTAATAAAACTGACACTTTTGGACTCTGTACTATATTGACTGCTACCAGAAATGAAATTAAGTAGGCTACTTTTACTGTGTAGCCTACTTTGTGAGTAATCCTCTGTCAGAGTCCCCTCCATAGTAGGCCTACATAATGCATGTTTATCTGTTATCTTTGATGAGTGATAAAAAGACAATTTTACCATTAGTTCTTAATGAAATTGATACTGTTTGACTTTGTATTAGTTAGCCTACTACTAACAATACATTGAAGTAATTTTACTGTGTATTTTGTGAGAAATCTTCTGTCAAAGTCCCCTGCTGAGAACAAAATCAAGTCACTTCTGCTAAGTTTGATGAGGGAATAATTTTTTGTTGCCATTAATTATTCGTGGGATTGATCCTGTTGGACTCAGTACTACTGAAACTACCCCCACAAGTAATATGAAGTACTTACTGTGTACTTTTCCAGTAATCCTCTGTCAATGTCCCCTCCCGAGTACAAGAATGCATGTTTTTCTTTTAATAAGCGTTAAAAAACCTTTCTTCCTGAGACTGATATTGTTGGACAGAGTATTTTAAGAGGATGGTAGACATGATATCAGCAATACTTCCAGTCAGTACTCCGGCAGCAGCATTTTACACCTTGGAAAGTCTTTAGAGTCTGGCCTGGATAGCTGGTCACAAATATCCTTCAGCAAAGTAACACACTCTGTCACATGGTTGCCCTCTTATGATGCTGCTGTCTTTTAGATAAAGGGCGTTTTATGGTTGCTTGTATCCTCAGATAGTGGTTTGTTTAAATAACTAGTGACATTTGAATAAATATTGCAAAAAAGGGCTCCAAAAAAGGCATATAACCTGGCCGGCTTAACCAGTCTGTATTTCTTCAAGCACCACAAGATTCATAGTTTATAAAGTACAATTCTGGGCCATTGATTGTGTCATTTCTCCAAACACATAAAGTAAAATGCATTTTTTGAAGCCTTAAAATGGTGCAGGAAAAGGACTTTATAGTTAAGAGAAGAGAAAAAAGGAAAGAAAACTGTTGACAGACATAACATGAGGTCCTTGGCACTCAGACTCTAGAGGGATCATTTTGTGATCATGGGGCATCACCCTTACAGCATCAGGACAATATCATATGGAGTCAGACACTGGAAGTGTGCTGAAGGCGTTGACTGGACTGATGGAAGGATGAGGCTGATGAGACTGAAGAATCTGCGAGGAATGAACTAGCGGCTGAGAAATAATCATGAGAGCCATTGAAGCCATGAAGAATTTATCCTTCCACAAATCTTTTCATCTGCTGTATTAATAAAGTTGCCACGTGTTTTCAAATTCAAGTTAAGGCACTATCTGTGCAGAACATTACAAATATTCTTCATTTGCAGTATTTTATTTTAAAAGTGTTCAGAAAGACTGAATCAATTATATGCTATATATATATATCTATATATCTATAATATCAATATTGTTATTAACTTCAACCAAAGTCAATTTAAATAGCGGGCAAAAATTGGTTAATTGCCATGGATGTGGTGTTTGATATAGTTTACGTTCAATTTCAACTATTTTAGGCAGAAAAACGTATATTGACTAAAACTTTTAAAATAATTTACTATAATTTAGAAAGGTTTTTGTGAGAAATCATTTCAAAAGTAAACTTTTTTTCATTTTATATTTTAATTTGAAATGTTTGCACACAACATTATTAATTTAAACATTTTTATCCATTTTTTAAATTATGAATCAATTTATTTTATTCTATCCTTGAGGCTGGGGAAGATTTCCAGCATGTAGTTCAACATGCAAATGTTGAAATACAAGTAAGTATATAAGTATAACATGGAAAAGTAAATAAAATACGTTTAGGATGTGGATTTATTTTCTCTCACCTTGTAATTACACAATCAAACCATCTATAATTTAGCTCTGGCCTTTACTCACAAAAAACACATTTTTCGAAGCTCTATTGACTGACATGCAATGACTGGGACTGATGGAAGAATCTGAGAGGAATGAACTAGGAGCAGAGAAATAATCCTATTTAAAAGACAGCAGCTTCATAAGAGGCCAACAAGAGTGACAGGGTGTGTTTTGATTGATTGATTGAAAAGTTTATTAACAGCTTGTATATTGGGTACAGTACAGTACAGCTCAAAACATACAATTGTTAAGGGGATGCAGACCAGAGAAAGACTTTCGTCTTGTTTACATCAGGGTCCCCCATTTCCAATTCATCATATCATTTAAGACATATAAGACATATTAGACATACAGATGGCTTATTTACAATTTACATACAGGTGGTTTTTTACATACAGATGGCTTATTTACAATTTTCATTTTAGATTTCGTTCTAATACATCCTAACCGGACATTTAAGACATACCAAGTCTACAGATATACAGTTAGTAACAGAGTCTAAAATGCGAGTATATACATAGATGGGGGGGGGAAGCTGTCCATTGTACGACAGGTTGAGATTAGTACCATTACCGGGGCCAGTTTTGCAATGCTCTCCCCCGAAGGTGCTCTTTAAGAGAGGTTTTGAAGGTAAGTATAGTTTTACTTTCCTTTACAGTTGTGGGAAGAGCGTTCCACCTTGATGTGGCATCATTGCGAAACGTGTATTCCCCCTTTTTTGTGCCAAATCTGGGTTTTACATGATTTGTGGAGCTCCCTCTGGTGTTATGATCATGGTATTCCTTGACCTTTGGGAAGAATTTTGACATGTACATGGGTACCATAGAGGTGTAGTGGATCTTGTAGACCAGGCCCATTGCAAGTAGCTGTACTCTGTCGTCTACTCTAAGCCATCCTAGGTTGTCAAAGTGGGCAGAGGTGAGGTGGGTTCTAGATGAAAGGTCAAGCAGTAGTCTGACCAGTTTATTTTGCGATGTTTGAAGTTTTATTTTTAGCGCCTTGGAGGTGCTATGGTACCATGATGTGCAAGCATAGTCATAGTACCCTTGAATGAGTGCTCCTGCCAGAGTTTTCAGGGTGTTTTTGTTTACCAGAGAGGAGATCCGGTATAGGAATCTAGTTCTTTGATTGACTTTTTTTATTACATTGGATGCCATTTTGTCACAGGAGAGGTTTGCCTCAAGAATAGATCCTAGGTATGTAATTTCCTTCTTACTAGTGACAATAATGTCACCCACTGCAACTGAGAAGTCGTCGGATTTGCTGAGATTATGTTTCGAACCGAAGAGAATGGACTCTGTTTTACCCAGGTGTAATGATAATTGATTATCGGCGAGCCAGGTGCAGATTCTGCCGAGCTCGGAGCTGAGGGTTTTTTCAACCTGCAATCTGCTCCTGTCAGAGACCAGCAGGGCTGAGTCGTCCGCGAACAGGAACAAGTTGCAGTCACATGCTGATGACATGTCATTTGCATAAATTAGGAACAGTAACGGACCTAATATGCTTCCTTGTGGAACACCACAGCTCACTGGGAGGGGGGGGGGACAGAGTACCGTTTACCTCCACCATCTGTTCTCTCCCCTCCAGGTAGGATTGCATCCAGCTCACCGATAGTTTATCAAAACCAATTGCTTTTAGCTTGTCAATCAGAATGGGGTGATTGACAGTGTCGAAAGCCTTTTGTAGGTCCAGCATCACCATGCCGCAGTATTTACCCTCGTCCACCTCTTGTTTGATGTGGTCGTTCAAATAAAGAAGGCATGTGTCAGTGGAGTGGGATGTTCTAAAGCCAGAGTTTCTTTTCCGCGAGGTACTTTTCGACCTGTTCATATACTATTTTTTCCATGACTTTCGAGATGGAGGTAAGTATAGAAACAGGGCGGTAGTTGCCTGGGTCCAATTTGCTGCCCTTTTTGTGCAGGGGGGTTACTCTTGCAATTTTGAAGTCTTTGGGTACTTTTCCCTGTTTTATGGAGAGGTTAATTATGTGAGCTATGACTGGCGGTTGCTGTGTCTCTGAGGAATTTGGAGGGGATATTGTCGTGGCCAGTGGCCTTGTTAGGTTTGAGGGCGCTCAGTTTAATGAGTACCTCTGCTGTTGTTACCCTTGCTAGACTGAAATCATCTTTGCGTACCCCTAGGTTTTTGTAGTAGGTCATGATGTGATCTACTCCAAAAAGCCCTGAGTGGGAGGGTAATTTATTTACAAGAGTTGTGGCTATGTTTGTGAAAAAAATGTTCAAGTACTTGGCCACATCCAGTTTGTCTGTGATGAGCCTGTTATCTGTCTTTATGTAAAGACTGCTGTCAGAGGTCAGAATGAGATCAATGGTAGTTTGTGTTGTTTCACATAACCCGTCACTGTACCCGTGTTTCTGCCGATGGAGGTCTTCTCCTCTCGCTCTTGAGAAGTTGCTGAAGCTTAGAGATGAGTATCTTTTCCCCATTATTTTCCGGAGCCGCGCTGGCTGCGCATGGACGTTATTGAGCATAAGAGCATTTATGGTGACCCGGTTTAGCCCCACACTGTTTTTTTTTTAATGGTGCTGCGAGGGCTGGACGAGACTTCATATCTGCTACGAGGATCTGAAACGGGTATGGCGGCAGCAAGAAAACCTGAAATCACAACTGACTGCAGGAGAGAGGAGAACCATTTTAAAGTTTGGCTGCAGCACGGTGATTGGCTGCTGGAGAATGAGGTGAATGTAATAGGTTATAGACAACGCCCTTGATGAGCTGATTATATGCAGCTGCGGACTGAATGTAGGCTAAATACCAGTCTTCCTGAAAGAACTTGCGCTGAGCTTCATTTCCTGTCTGCTGTGTTGCAGCTTCACTCAGAGACAGCATGGCTTCCAGGTTAGAGGAAGATTTCTGCTGTCCGGTCTGTAAGGAAGTCTTTAGAGATCCTGTCATGCTGTCCTGCTGCCACAGCTTCTGTAAAGCCTGTCTGCAGACCTGGTGGACGGGGAAAGAAGTAAAGGAGTGTCCAGTCTGTAAGACAGAATCTTCAAGAAGAAATCCCCCCTGTAACCTGGCTTTAAAGAACCTGTGTGAGACCTTCTTACAGGAGAGAGATCAAAACCACAGATTCAGACCCATGGATGAAGCTGCTCAGGATCTCAGAGAGGAGCTCCAGAAGTCTCTGCAGCCCTTTCAGGAGAAACTGAAGCTCTTTGAAGAAGTTAAAGTGAAGTTTGATCAAACAGCAGGACACCTGAAGGTCCAGGCTCAACACACAGAGACGCAGATCAAGGAGCAGTTTAAGAAGCTTCACCAGTTTCTAGAAGAGGAAGAGGAGGCCAGGATGGCTGCACTGAGGGAGGAAGAGGAGCAGAAGAGGAAGATGATGGAGGAGAAGATGGAGGCTGTGAGCAGAGAGATAGCAGCTCTTTCACACACAGTCAGAGCCACAGAGGAGGAGCTGAGAGCTGAAGACGTCTCCTTCCTGCTCAACTACAAGGCTGCAGTGGAGAGGCTGCAGCGCCCCCTGCTGGAGGATCCTCAGCTGCCCTCAGGAGCTCTGATAGACCAGGCCAAACACCTGGGCAACCTCAGCTTCAACATCTGGAGCAAGATGAAGGACATGGTGTCCTACTCTCCTCTCATCCTGGACCCAAACACTGCTCATAGAGGACTCGTCCTGTCTGAAGATCTGACCAGAGTGAGACGAGGAGGACAGGAGGAAGAAGAGGAAGAGGAGGAAGAGGAGGAACAGAAACTTCCTGATAATCCAGAGAGGTTTGATTCTGACTGGTCTGTCCTGAGCTCTGAGGGCTTTAACTCAGGGACTCACAGCTGGGATGTCCAGGTTACATACAGTAGATGGTGGGTACTGGGTGTGTTAGCAGAGTCTGTCCAGAGGAAGGGAAGCATGTGGTCTGGATCATGGGGAATATTATTCTCTGGAGATGAATACTCAGCATGGTCAGCATCAGATCTATCTACTCGTCTCAGCCTGCAGCAGAAGCTCCAGAGGGTCAGAGTGAATCTGGACTGGAACAGAGGAAAGTTGTCGTTCTCTGATCCTGACACTAACACACACATACACACCTTCTCACACACTTTCACTGAGAAGATGTTTCCATACTTTAACACTGTGGGTGAAGTGAAGATAGTACCGCTGAAGGTGTGTGTGACAGTGGAGCAGAGCAGGTAGAGATGAACGGGATCATTATATCTATGATGTTTATCTCTTAAAGCAGGAGTGTGCAAACTTTTTTCAAAGAGGACCGGATTTGATAATGTGAATATTATATCACAATTCTTATTGTCACAATTATCTTTATTTTATTCAAATGGTTATATAACTAAATATAAGCAGGCGTGAACAACTCTAAAAACACGCTCTTTCATTCATATCTGGAGAGTCAGATAACATTGAACAGACGATGGTGTGTCAGAATCAGGTCGGACAAATAATAATCTAACATATGCAGGACGGACCGTGGACATGCCTGTCTTAAAGGGAAATACACTGCTGTCTCTTTATTCTAAACATGTGTTTAGAATTTATTTTAGTTTCACTAATGTTTTTGTTGTTTTTTAGTTTGATAATCTGCTTTTTGATCATACTGTCAACCTTTATTAAATTGAAACGCGTGCATTTAGCTGACACTTTTATCCAAGTAACATCAAATATGCTGAACTGCTTCCTTTAGAGGAAATAAGAGATGTAAATTCTTTACATTTGAAATGATCTCACCCAGATTCAGACCTTTATGTCAGGTGATAGTTTAACCTTCTCTGTTTTATTGAAACTATGTTGTTATAAATTGTTCATTTGTGATTTGTGCATGATGGGAAAATAAATAAATAATATTTTTAATTCAACTGCGAGTTTGAGCAGCGAATCATTTATCAGATCCAAAATAAAATGCATTTTAATTTCCAGTCCAGACAATATTGATTTTAAATTGTTGAAATTAAAGTTTTATTACATGCAATTTTTACATTTTAAACTTGTATAATCATATAAAACATACAGAGTTACTGGGTTTAAATTAACTCCCTGACAGACAGGGAATAAAATAAAGGTTTTAAAGAGATTTCTAAGTATTTAAAAACTGAGTAAATGTTAAACCCAGTTTTCCCAGGAGAAGCCTAAACCGAGAGGACGACCCATTGCTGTTCAGCGTGGATTATCAAATGCACACGTTTATAAACTCTAAAGGATTTCATCTCAATCTAAAATACTGATTTCTTGGCAGCGGTGTGTTATCGAGTATTAACAACCTCTTAAACGTCCAATTTGACCAATCAGAATTGAGTATTCAGCTAAGACGTTTAATACAATTATAATATATAGTAAAGTAAAATATATATTGGTGTAGATAAAGTAATGTGTGCACTACTTGAATATATAAAAACATGTATGTTACAATAGAGTTGTGCATTAATATTAACTAGAGAATGCAATTCCTGAAGAAATTGCTAGTGGGAATGCTTTATACTGAAAATCTGACGCTAAACTGCTATGCTGAAATGTAATGTGTAAGAAAGTGAAGAATTTAGATTGAAATGATACATGAACACTGGGGTCTTGAATGTGTGATGAGAGAAGAAAAGAAAGTAAAAAGGCTTGGAAAAGCAGCAGAATATTTGAACTGCAAACTTTTGAACTAACTTGATGGTGAATGATCTGTCACCATGCCAACGGCATTTGATGACATCCCATAATACGCTTAGATGTGTGGATGGCTGCATTGTTACCAAACCTGTGAAGTTTTGGGCCGTTTGGAGCATTTTCACTGAAGTTATGATAAAACCGTGTTTCAAGGTGAGCATTGTGTTGCCATGGGAACGGCATTTGAAGAAATCTCAAAACTGTCCCGTAGATGTCTTCACGGCTGGACTGTTAGCACACATGTGAAGTTTGAGCACTTTTTGAAAATGTTCATAGGAGTTATACATTACATTAGGAGGTTACATTACTCTCTCTCTTCTCTTGATCGCCCTCTCTCTTCTCTTGATCGCCCTCTTGATCTTCGGCATATGATGATGACACCCCATAATTGACGTAGAGCTGTTGAGGGCAGGACCATTAACCTTTATCTGAAGTCTGCTGCTCTGAGCATGTCGGTTGGAGTGATGACATCATCGTGTTCCATTACACAGGTGTTTATAGTTGAGCTAACGAGCTCTGCAGAGATCATAGGTTTCCATTGTTCTGAATGAGAGATTAACCTCTTACATGTGAACGTTTTGTGGAAGAACCGTAACAGATATCTGTGAAATTTCAAAGCGTGAAGCATGTCAAGGAAGTTGAGTATCTGAAGTGTAATCTTTGTGTACTTTCTGGTTAATAATGTGGCCTTTTTGGCAGTTTAACTAAAGGTGTGCGGCTGCTGCTGTGAGGAAATATCTGCCTGAAATTACAATGGGCTTTAATGGAGACATGTTGAAAGTTATTGTCACTTCATGCCCTCAAGAGGCATTTTGTTTAATTATTTTGCTTAATTATTTGTCATTTTTCAAGCTACGAGATATTTTCCTACGTTTGTCATGAAAGATTATGTCTCAGGAGGAATGTAGGGTGCTGTGACATCACGCACTCTGCCTTAACGAGCTGCGCAATGTTAAAGTAAAAATGTTAAAAATGTGATGTATTATGGGATGTATCTCTGGAATTATGAAAGTTATGAATGATAAAAGTAATAGCCTGCGATTCCCGACCGAGCTGAACGTTTTGATGTTTGAACGGAGTTTCTGCGATGTTGAATGTGGGAGGAGAAGAGGGACAAAATAAGTCGGCGGAATAATACACTTTTTGTCCGTAGCATAACATATAGTGGGAATGCTGTATCAGCATTCCCACTAAATAATGATATCACTCAGATTATTAAAGCAGCAACAATCACATTTAATGAGAAAAGAGCAAACAGATGTTACAATGATGTCCAATAATAAACTAACTAACATATCTGATTAAATCAGTTTCACAAGAACAGAGGATTCTTCAGACTGAAAACAAGTTGCTAATTTTCCTCATTTTATTCATGTTTATTTCCTCACTGACATGAAGTGTCTCAAAGTAAATACAAAATATCTCTAACTTTGATTTCAGTTTTCACAAGGACTCCACTTCTCCCCTCGATTTTCTCACTTTTTACGTTTTCTCTGTTCATTCATAAAGAAAAAAGCTGACACGTCTTCACTTCAGCGGGCGCCATCTTTAACGAATCAGCATCTCTTTACTTTCAAAGGCTTTTTCAGCACTTTAATGTTATCAGTAGTAACCACATGACTTAAAGGTCACATATTATGCAAAATCCACTTCTTCATGTCTCTTCTACATCAACATGTGTCCCCTCTTCTTCATGTCTCTTCTACATCAACATGTGTCCCCTCTTCTTCATGTCTCTTCTACATCAACATGTGTCCCCTCTTCTTCATGTCTCTTCTACATCAACATGTGTCCCCTCTTCTTCATGTCTCTTCTACATCAACATGTGTCCCCTCTTCTTCATGTCTCTTCTACATCAACATGTGTCCCCTCTGTGTAAAGAGACTCTAAAAGTTTCAGGAACAAAGATTCTCTCTCTTTTTGTCCTGATCCATTTATATAAAAACCTGTCTGAAAATGAGCTGATCAGATTTTGGCCACTTCATGATGTCATAACGATGTTTTGGCTTGTGTAACCATTAGCCAATCACCAACCAAGGTAACCCCCCCCCACCCCCACCTTATCACCTGAATCTCCTCCTATACCCCTTTCACACCAACGCAACTCCGGTTCAAGCTCCGTGCTAGAGCTTTTCAGGTTCAGAACCGGTACTTCGGTTTAGCTCCGGCTCTTTTCACACCGCTCAGAGACCGACTGGTGCTGCCGCTGCTGCGTCATGACGTCACAGTTTACGTCGCTGATTTTCTCCCCAACGGAGCTCACCTCACAACAACAACGGGCCGGGGACTGCGTTGCTTTTAATCATACGAAGCCAGATTAAATTAAATAACGACTTCTCCAACCTTATACTTTTCTCTAGAGTGCCGTGGTTCATTGTTTATTAATGTGTTTCAGCGGCATTTACCGACCGCTGCAGTGCTGCTGCTCTTCCACGAGTGTATTCTCCCGTTAGCTCCGGGTTAGCTCACACGGCTCTAAAGTATTCACTGTCTGACTGTCACACAAGCAGCTGATACATATCCCCAGTTCCCCTTAAGTGAATGTGTGTCAGTCTGAATTGACGCTGTTTGGCATCACAACGCTGTTATGAAAGTTTCTCTGGTATAACATGGGTGATGTTAGCATAGCAACCGAAGCTAAACTGACTACTTGCTACGCCGTTTTCTCCAGGCACATTTTACCGGCGTATTTTTCATTATGATTCTACTTGTGATAGTCGGACATGACAACCTGTGCAGCCCATGTATTGATTCCATCCGATAGCTGCTATAATAACAAACAAAACGTCTGCCTGCTCTCCACAATGATCAATAACAGCGAACGGATGGTCAAAGTAAGGTACAAATAAACAGAATCACACGAAGCCTGGTTAGTGTTGCCTGACTTTATAAAGTGTGTTTTTTTTTAACAAGTGTGTGGTTGCGTTCTAGTCACTTTGCTCAGCACTACTGCTTGTTACAACTTTTATTTGCCGTACTCGCCTTAACTGTTAGCTCAGGTTAATCTCGCCCCCCTCCGACGTAAGCGTGACGTATGC